GCAGTTCCTCCACACTGTTGGCATGATCGCTCCTCTTTTGGCAGCCATGTTTTCTTGTACCTGCCTGTTTCTATGGCCAGGCTGTGTGTCTGTGTGTCTCTCTCCTCTCTGTACCTGTTTCTATGGCCAGGCTGTCTCTCTCTCTCTCTCTCTCTCTCTCTCTCTCTATGGCCAGGCTGTGAGCACTCAGTCTGTACTTTGTCAACATCTTCCTGTGTTTAACATCAGTCACTGTGGTCAGGCTGCCTTTTTAGGGCCAGATAGCATTGCATTTTACTTTGTGTTTGGGATTTAGTGTTCCAATAAGTGAGGTAGTTTTTTGTGTGTTTTGTTATAATTTGGTTGACTCTAATAGTTGTGGGCTCAGACTTGTCCTGAGGCAGATCACAGTTTGAACCGGTTTGTGAGCAGAGTGTCAGGACCAGATGAGCAATTTTCTATTGTATGTGTCCCAATTGTAAAGTCAATATTTTTTGCCTGAAATCTGGATCTTTTTTGAAATATCATTGTTTTTGTATTTTTTTATGTTAATTGCCAGGGCCCAGGTCTGACAGTAACATTCGAGTATGTTCAAACTATGTTGAAGTCCTTCTTTTGTCGGGTTTAACAGGATTAAATAATCTGTATACAGCAGGAATTTGATCCCTGTTTTGTGAAGTGTGAGCCCAGGATCTGTTGACTGTTCTAAGATACTGGCCAGTTCGTTAATATAGATGTTGAACAGGGCCGGTGATAAACAGCATCCTTGTCTTTGTACCCGTTCTTGAGAAATGAAGGTTGTTCTTTTGTGTCCAATCTTGATGCTGCACATGTTGTTTGTGTACATAGATTTTATTAGGTCAAATGTTTTAACCCCTATACCGCTTTGAAGTAGTTTGTTGAATAGATAGACCAACATGCCAAATCGAGTCAAATGCTTTTTGGAAATCAATGAAACAGGCAAATATTTTGCTTTTATTTTGATTAACATATTTGTCAATTAGGGTGTAAATGTGGTCTGATGTGCGGTGATTTGGTAAGAATCCAATTTGGCATTTGCTTTGGACATTGTGTTTTGTAAGGAAGTCTATAAGCCGGGAATTTATAATACTACAAAAGACCTTCCCCAGGTTACTGTTCACACAAATGCGTCTGTAATTATTAGGGTCAGATTTATCGCCGTATTAAAAAATGGGTGTTATGAGTCCACGATTCCAGCTGTCAGGAAAGTAACCTACAATCAGGATCAAATTGAATAGTTTGAGTATAGCCAATCTGATCTTTTTACTGGTGTGTTTTAGCATCTCGTTTAATATGCAGTCAAGCCCACTTGCTTTTTTTGGTTTTAGGTTAATACATTTTTTTCCAGTTCCTGTTCAGTAATTAGAAAGTCCAAAGGGTTCTGGGAGTCCTTGATGACCAATTCTCCAACGCAGAGACACATGCATGACAATTTGGCAGACTCACTCACATCTGAGGTGCCCACTTTGTCCAGACAGAGCACAGAGGCTCCGTTGTCCCACCCCCCAAGGACACAGTGGCGGACTGTGCATTAGTAATAAGCTCAAACACAATGACAGGTTTCACAGACATAGAGCCAAAGCTTTGAGTCAACAGATGATACATTCCCGTTTAATAAGTGAGCCTATAGCTCCCTCCCAACATAATGCACTCTGAGCGAGGAGCTCATTTGGTTCAGCTACATGATGTGATACAGGCAAAGTCACCATTGCAGGCCATTCATAACCTGAAATAGTAACCATTGTTGTACCAGAATAATATTTAATACAGTCTCGATTGAATCTGAAATAGTTTTCAATATGACTAACAACAAATCTAATTTGTTATGTCATTTAAACTGTCATTTAAAATAGCATAGGCCTACTGTTTTAGGTTATATTCCATTATTTGGCAGTGCCAGGCAACTGTTCAGATACAGGAAATAGAGACTCCTTTTTACACTTAGTTTTTTTGGAGGACTTAAAGAAACAAGATATAGCGTGAAACGTTGGTTGGATAAGAAGAAGTTTAGATGTGTATTGTGTTCATTTTTGGCAGTCATGCTAGCTTTCCCCCCCAGACCTTTTGCTAAGCTAAGCTAACTGGCAGGCTGGAAGCACTAGAGGGCAGTCAAAGTAGCTGCTTCAGGCCGATATAAAGCAAAACTAGCATTTCATGAGTCATTTGATGTGTTTCTGATTTATATGAGTACTTCACTCTCTTTTTGTTATATGTTGGTCTCTTTGACATCTTCAGAAAAGTAACTTGCTCATTAGTGGCTAAATGTTCCAGCTAATGCTAATTGTAATTGGTAGCTAAACTTTTAGATGGTAAATTGCTAAATTTGAGCTTTTTTGTGTGGGTTAAAACAATTAATGCAGCTGGAGATTGGGTTGATAAGAGTGGGATAGAGTATTAAATGTAGTGTACAACATAGGCTACTTTAATTAAAATGTTGGTAACTGCAGCATGCTGAAAGCAGCACCTTTACAGTTTTGTCACGAGTACGCCATGCTAATTAATATAAAATACTGATTAGGGGAGTGTTCAATATTACTTTATATCCTCCATCACCCTCCTCCTTATCATAAGCTACATCTTGCACACCTCGGTGGGCCCGCCTGCGCCTCCTATGCTTTACCCATTATTTCCCTCGGAGATTTTTTTTCAGTCCATATTAACGCGGAAGTCGGTGACGCACCACTACACTCAGCTGCTCAGCGGGGGTCAACGCAATAAACAAAACGTCGTCATTCGGAGCCAAACACAGCGGTGAGTGTCTTATTTTCTCTGTTAGTTGGAATAGGAACATTTTTGTCCAATGCAGCTATGCGTCCGTCAACACTTAGGCTCCTCTGTGTCCGCTGCGCCTCTCGCTTATTAAATCCGACCGGAGGTGACTGACGGTCTGTCGGTCGGGCGGATTGACGGACTGTGTCTGGACTGTGCTGGGATTTGAATGCGTGAGAATTTGCTTTTTTTATTGGCAACTGTGAAAGCCGAGGGTTGGTTCCTAGTGACTGTCAACGTAACCTGTTTGTGATAAAGGTATGGAAATGGAGTTTAATGTCAGCGACTGGTGCACTCTGCAGCAAAAATCTGCAACGCGGTTTAATTGTGTCAACCCTGCTGCTCTTTATTTCCTCGGGTTTGTCCATTCAGCATGTGTTTGTGATTGTGAATCAAGAGAAGACGTAATGTGTCCGAGCAAGCCTTTGTTAGTCTTCCCCAAGCCTTTGCGACGCTCAGTTTGGCGTGCCTTAAGATGGGACACGAGTTCATTAAAAATATAAATGATTGCATTCATACACGATTAAGCAATATTGTAACATAGCATTTGTTCCCAACATTGCTATCTTAAATGCTGTAAACTTGAATTCTCTAGCCTGTAAAATGGGGGTGACCATGCCATAGCTGTGGGTTTGTCTCTTTTGAGTTTACCACCCTGGATCAATATGTATTGGGATGTTAATGCTTGAATTAACATGGTGGCCCACAGCAGTTTCCTTTTCTCAAAGATCATTTGCTGTAGACTTGAGGTCTGAGGCACACTGCTGTCCGGATGTTGCCTTTATTATGAACCATAATAACATCAAGCTGATGGCCATAGCTGCATTGCTTCCACAGGCTGCTGCTGCTGAAAAATATAAACAGTCATTCTAGTTTTATATAATCAGCTTGACATCAATAAGACAACAATTCCACACTCAGATTAAACTCTAAAATGTTGTTTTGCCTGATGAATGTGAGGTTAGTGTACTGCCCTCAGTGAATTGTTACCGTGGCTCTCAGATTACACTCAGTCTTCTCATTGGCTGCAGGATCAGCTTTCCTCCTTTTCTTCCACTTTACACTCCAGTCCTGCTGTGTGCCATGATGCCTGCAGTATAGTCTGTGAGTGTGTATTGCAATTGCAGCTTGTTTAAACCTTTTTAAAGCAAATCATACACACTTGTATAGCTTTCTGTGCTTGCTACAACTATGTGGTGGCCTGCTGTGTTGTTTACTTTTTCAGTGGGAGGGCAAACCTTTCACTCAGCTTCATTCCAAGGTAACAAGAGTTGGCGTCATGTCAAATACAGCCTTTTAAGGCACCATTTTTATCATGATGCATGCCTGCAGCCTGTGGTGTTCAGCTACTGTCAGTGTTAGAAGAACAACCAGCTGTGGGTGTTACATCACTGTAGCCTTTGGTTATGTCTATGGTAGTGTTGTGAAAAACTGAGGGCTTGTTGCGATAAGAAGCCTCATTGTCCCGTGGAGTGTGCGTGCATGCATAAACTTACAGATAACACAATGCATATTGTCTCTGTTGAGCTGCTGTGTAACTAATCCGGCCTCCTCCTCACATGGGATTACTGCATATGGAATGGTTTCATTTCCACACAAACACTTGAAGTTTCTGAAACTGTTGAGTGTTCAAACGATAGCGACGGACGCCGGTGGCCTTTTTGTAGGCATGCAGTGATTTAGAATGGGAGTTCTTATCTTGGTTTGTTTCATACTTGAGTTGAACAAAGATATGTCTTGACTTTGAAAAAAAGCAACTGGGGACACTTTACATCTTCATTAGCAGAAAAAAAATGCAAAGCCAAATGAAAAGTCAGCCTTTTTTATTAATGAGCGGCTTGAACTTGTCAAAGTTGTCATATTGAGTGCACAGTTATTTTGTGTTTTTTGTTGAATTATAGCATTGATATCACATTTTAGTGAGGAAAAACCGCCTTTAATAACCATACCGAGTGACTTGTGAATTTGCTGTATTCACGTCATCTTTTTCTCACAGGGAACACTTCCTTGCCAAGGAGGTTATGGTTTCGCTTCAGTTGGTTTGTTTGCCTGCCTGTCAGCCGGATTATGGATAAACTGCTGGCCCAAATGTAATGAATCTTGGTGAAAGGTTGTAGCATGGGCAAAGGAGGAACCCTTTACATTTAGGAGTGGATCGTAATCACACGCGGATACACCATTTATTTCTCACTTTCGCTAACACTGCGTGATGGGTTCATGGCCTTGCTGGAGGTCTCCTATTTCTGTGTGCCCTTCTAGTCTGCAGTATAAAGTCATTTCCTATGACGGCATCTTACATTTCCGACTCTCCTCTCCTCTCCCTCTGGTTTCCTCTTCCTGGCATGGTCTTCCCATCATGACCAGCTGACTTGGTGCGCTCTGACAGTGCAGGATCATGCAGGTATCGGGAAGCGTTCTGCCTTGATGAGAAATCTCACCTACTCCCGACCTGCCAGAGCTGTCAACACACTCTAAAGTTGCCTGTCGCACTGTCAGGACCGACTGCAGGGAGAAATGAGGAAGTAAAACCATGATTATGATTCCAAACTTGAGAAAGAGGGAGGTTGAGACTGCAGCTGTTAAGCTGCTAACACTGGGAGCCTGCAGTCTTAATGGACTGGGCCATTGTGTGCTTGCAAATTAACTCATGCTTTGTGTCTTCAGAGATAGGTTCTGAATAAAGTAATTGGAGGGTGGAAAGAATGCAATCAAAAGTATCTGAAGTCTTTGATAGATTTCTGCCAATTAAATGCCATAATTGTTTGACACAATTGGCTGTGATGGTGAAATGTGCCGCCCACAGTATTTTACATTTTGGAACAGCCGATGTGTTTGACAGGCCATTTTGTGATATTCTATAGAGGTTTCAATCAAATTCAATTTAACAATGGCCAAAACACATTTCAACTTGCAGAAGAGTTTCAGAAAGAAGTTTCTGAAAAGAAGTTTTTTTTATTTTTTATTCTGGTTCACCTTATTCACATCTTTATTTAGTTTGTCCTAAACGCCTGTCCTTAGTAATCACATACAGCATGTTTCAAACGCCAAAGAGCTGAAAATTTAAATTGTGTTGTCGACTCATTTTTCAAGCCTAACCTAGTTTAGCTAAAGCTTACGGTAATGAAACTCATGAACATTTCTGTTATTTCGGCTAATATGTCAGTGCAACTAATTATGGTCAACTAATGCCAGACACCAGTGACAAAAATGGCCTTCTCAGTTTCCCAAAGTTAAAGTTTACAAATGTGTTGTTTTTACCAACCAAAACCCAAAGATATTAAAGGTCGGCGATACAGCGGGACAGCGCGAAACTCATCCTTCTTTACTCTTAATATTGTTTTCCATTATTAATGTCAACCTGTTTTTAAAATGGCACCTGCAGTGGACGTTCTCTGACTCACACTGATTTTCTACGTCACCTACTTACCCCCGTCCCCCCGCTGTGGGGCTTAATCTGTAACATAATATTGATTTACATTCTGCAAAGAGACAGGAAATGGATCCAGCCAACAAAAAAAACCAATCTTCATACATATCCTGTTCCCTTTTACTGTGTAAATGATCCAGGATGTGGGTTTTCCTGGACTCTAGTGACTTTAAGGAAGTTGTGATATTGTCATTTATTACCTCCAGTTTAGCAAGCTTTACTTTTTGAATAAAAATAATAAAAGTATATTAACAAAATCACCAGGCAGTTGCAATTGTTCCAGAGTATGGTACCAAGGTTTCCATTGCCTCGTAGACTCTGTGCTGCTGTCCCATACTGCTTCTGTTATCTGATCCTTCTCCGGTATAATCATATGAACACGTCCCCTGCTAGTCGTGTTGTATCAGCGTCTGGCTGGCCTGTAATATAATAGCATAATAAAGGTATGATACTGTGTCATTCCTCTTTGCCTCCTGTGCGCTAACTCAATCCTCTCCTGCCCTGCTGCTGTGCCCCACTGTGGCTGCTCTTCGTCTTTAGGAATAGAGTATTGATCCAATCTAATGGCTTCCTCCTATGGGTGATGTCATACACCCCCCATGACTCAAACCTCACTGGAGTAATGCTAATGGCAGGAGTTAGAAGCCGTGCTTATAGGACAACAGAGCAGTGTTTATATTGAAATGTCTTGCACACCTTAAGTAGCCTCCCTCCCTCAGATTTACGTGTGTTGGGCGAGTGCAATAAAATGATGATGTGTGGGATGAAGAGGGGGAGGCGTGGCTCGACAGGGGCGATACATCAGCAGAGCATAAATGCTGGCTCAGCTGAATGGACCCTCGGATGGCACTGCTGCAGGTAGCGGGTTATGGTTGATGATGTCATTAGGGTTTACAGCGTCTCCAAGGTCTCTGTCTGCTCGTAGCAACGGATCAAGATGAGTGTGTGTGGAAGGAGACACAATAGCACTGTTCTGCGTGTGTAGCCAGACACAACATAGGCTGATGCAATGACAATGACTTAATCTGGAGACTGGAGCCTGTTTGTGGTTTTGTGTTTGTATCAACAATCTTCAGAATGATCCTGGTTACCTGCTGCTCTGCTGAACTTGTAGCTGCATTTGGGATTGTCTCTCTTTTTAAGGATGGATTACCAATCTCAGAAAAACAAATGTAGTACAGGCGTACGTTTCACGAACAGGTTTAGTGCATTTTGGAATCAATTCTTCAAGCCTCCGGTAAAATCTTCTAAAAAGTATTCAGTCATCTGATGTTTTGGTGACGGTCTTTCCAAACACTTGCAAGGAAGTTGCATTGCTTAATGAATATGTTTTGTAGTGAAAATGTGTAGTGAATGGTTGGTAGGTTGATATCTATAGACAGTAAAGAGCATAGCATATAGTTAAGAATTATAATTTTCCTGCCCATTAAAACATTTATCTCTTTTCTTTTTTTTTGGATCCCCATTAGCACTAGCATGAGCATTGGCTAATCTTCCTGGGGTCCTACACACACACACAAAACCTACATCAACATATAAAACAAAACTCAAACAA